CAAAACAGGGCACTACCATAGCAATACTATTACCGATATTACCAGGCAGAAATTACGAAATCCTTTCATCAGTTGCTCAATTATGATAACGACTCATTCTTATTCTGAATCAACGAAACACACAAAAATTAAGATATTGGTCACACTGAATGTGTTGCAATAATTCAAAGATACGTTGGAAAATTACAGCTAGCCGACGTGACTGATTCGAGCCAAACTGTCAAATCTTCCAAATTCGAGATGCCCAATTTACGTAAGCATATGATTGAACAAAAGGACTGAGAAGAACAAGAAGAACGCGTATATTGTAGTGGCAATGCACTAACTAGGCTAATAATGCAAAAGAACGTGAAGAGTACAAAGAAAGCACTGCAAACAAATGTGCACAATAACACCACAAGCATATGTCTGTCTATCTCGTGTTCGAATATCAACAACTGAACTTAGTCAACTTTCAAGTCAGCTCCAATCAAACACAAATCAAATACAACAACAACAACAAAGCAAAGTAAAATACAATCAAGACCCCTATTGTGGTTTAAGATCTTTACCAATTCGATATGCATGCGTATTGTTCCAATCAAATTTCACACCCGTAACGGGTAACTGACGACGCAGCGCTTTGAATGTTGTTGATGACATCTGTTGGTAGTTGTCCTGAACTGCGTCCTGAAACCCACTTTCGTTCTATTTTGATGCTTTCCATCTTTATTTTCAGTTCATCCTCATACTGAATTTCAATACAAAGAAACAACGCAACACAACAACGAAAGTTTCACTTTTTTTTAAAAACCACTTAAAAATATGTTGAATTCTGACTGAACCGTAACTGATCGCACAAGACAGTGATAAACTAAAGTAATGTCAACGGTAAATCCCAAACGCAATCAACAACTCGATCACCTGATATTTCGATTCTTCATCCCAGATTATTTTGAAAATCTCTGCCGAAGTCTGCGCGTAGTCTGACTGCAACCGAACATTTAGAGTAAATGAAATGTATCAAGATGAACAACTATTGAGAATGGAATAAATTTCGACATCTGAGGCGTCCATTGTTCACATATTGATTGACGACAATAATGATTCAAAAACTGGACTCATGAAAAGAATTCTCAAACACATCACATCAATTGATGAAAAATGAAACGACCAAGACGTGTGGAGGAATGAAAAGAAACATTCAAAATAATCATGTAATATTGAAAAGAGAAAACCAGTTTAGTGAATCACCGAAATGAATGTTTTCGAATGAAACAAAACCAACAAAAACTGAAATCAAATTCACCGTCACGTTGATTTTATTGTTGATTTCTTTAGTTGACACTAATTGCACATTACCGTCCTCATAGTAATGCACCTGCACTTTCAGAACTCCCTTTAATTCTTGTGCACCTGATTTGCTGCCACCAACTGGGAGTGTCCATTGTGAACGCCAACGTCCATTCCTCAAAGTATCAAACACAATGCTCACGTCGAATCGAAAAATTTTCTCACTCATCACAGCTTTGATCGCTAAGCGCAAAATGACCTCTCGCTGAGCTGACGTTCCAAAATTCGCTTTCAAACCATATCAGAATGAATCAGTCAGAATAAGATTGCATGCGTAAATATGCAACCAATTTTCTACACTCGTCTACATCGACCATACCGATATCTCCAGAGTTACAATCGTGCTTATGAGTCTCATTCTGCCTGATCATGCTACTGAGCATGTCGCCAAGTATCGCCCCTTATCACACTTCTCCTAATCATCCTTAAGGTTAAAACCAGTGATGAGCAATAAGTTGACGTACTCACCAGAAATTCTTTGGTTGATAGCGATGACTTTCAATACACAGCACAAATACACCGTTATTGACAAAGACTGTGGCCGTTCCCGTTTCTTGATAATGACTTTCGATGTATTTGTCAGCCTCCTAGAATTCATCATCAACCATTTATCGATTAAACTATAAGCTTCATGCATAACTGAAAACTACTCTGAAACCAACTCAAACTCGGAAAAATACTGAACGAGTAACTGAATAAGATTATCAACACTGTAATGATCTATTCAAGTGAGTGGTGAATCAAATCTAACCTCTTGAAGAGCTTTACGCCATAATTCCATGCTGATATCGTTCAAATTCTCATTTTGTATTTCAGCAGCTTCCTTACGCAGATGATCGTATTTGAAAGTTCGACGCGATTTCGGATCCGTGAAACGACCGTTTGGTAACTCATTGAATTCTGTGATCAGCGTCTGCAAAACACCAACCTAATTCGATTCCGCAGATCAGTTAATTCTTCACTCTAAATATGTAGGAAAGTAGGAAAGACTTCGAAGCAAGCCCAGATAGTCGCATCGATATAACTAATGATCAACATCATAATGCGAAATACGTATATAAGAACAACTATGCATGAGATAAATGCTCTGTGAAGGCTGCTGGATAAACAACAAGAACGCGGCATCAGCAACAAATAAGGATTCAATTTCGGCTCTCTGTTCAAACAAAACCAACGCAAATTTTAGTTTACATAGCGGTAATGATAGCCAATAATAATAATATTAATGAGATTTTGTCGAAAAATCGAACCGGTTTGTCAACACCATCCAGTTTGACAGGCATGAATTGATCTTTGTTGTATTGAGCAAATGCACCCGCACACCCCTCTTTCAGTATCGAATCATTATTGAGTAGCATACGAACATCATTAAACACCTAAATACAACCAATCAATCAACAAAACTCGGTCTTAACTTATCCAGTTATCATCCGTTGTGGAGTGACTCACATGGATTCAATCGAAATTTTTTGGGCTTTCCGAAACGTCAACGAAATTCCATCGATACAGAACGATCGAATTTTATCATTAGTATAGAAACAAATAATTCACCAAGGCTAAGCCAGTGAGAGCGTCGTGATTCTGGTATGAACTTAATAGAATCAAAAGCGAAGGCTGAAAAAGGACAATGTCTCAAAGTTAATTGAAAGATGAAATGTTGTAATGAGAAAGCAAGGACCTCATTAAATTCGCCAGGAGGTGAATGCAGGAGAAATCCGGTTACAATCCGGACCTTTTCGTTATCTGGTAGCTCTTCGGCTGACATACCCAACGATTGCTGTTCACAAACTGAAAAAATGAAAGAGTTTCAACGACGCGATTCAAATGGCACAGTGTTCCACAGAAGTTGAATTACCGATGACATTAGCTCGTATCTTACGGATGTCGCAACAAAATGTTAAAACTGCTCCAATATTACAGAGCACTGCACACAGATTATTTCGCGAATAACATTACGAGGACAAGGACGTAAGGGTTTTTCTGCTGGAATCACGTCAATCCCAATTATGAGCTATAAATTCCACACATCTGCATCATGTGAACTGAACAAATCAATTACTGAAAATTAGTAATTATCTAATTTCAATTTCACTCTTTGCAGACATCCAAATTGCGAACCAAAACACTTACCAGTGCGATTGCGAACTGCCGTAGAAAACAATTTTTGAATGCTAACATCCGTTTGTAGTCACTATATTGTACATGACACAAGGAATGAGACCTATCTAGCAATACAAAATAGATAAGATGGAGNCTTGATTCCAGTGAAATTATCTCGAATTTTATGGTAGATTTGCGAGGCATTCCTCGATTACGCCATTTCAGGTTTCAAATTAATTTGCTCTATTTATTGTGAGCCAAATGTATGATAACACTGCTCAGTTATTTTGGTTAGTAAACCAAACGTTCGTAGATGTAAAAGGAAACAGAGTTCATGCAGAACAGGGATGTGAATGTTATGGATAATGTTGTTAATCTTGCACAACACCTAAAACTAAACTGCTGGAATTAATTACCACTGTAGAAAACGTCGAATTTCCCTCTGATAAGTCTATCGCTCAGATTAATTCTCCTCTTTTGTCAAACTTTTGATTCAGTCTTCTCAAATGGTTTATCACCCCTTAATCAGAAACTGCATCATCAACAACAAAGAGTGCACTTTCGGTACTCAACTTCTCATCAGTAGCGCTGTATTGATAGGAATGTGTTGATGACCACGATCACAAGGCATAAAGCATAATCATTTGTCACAAGTGATGTATGATATCATCGCTTTCGCTCGCTTATCAATGATAAGAAACGTTCTGTTGTCAGTCATCAACAAGCCTCACCATATGACATTTCCTTTCATCA